ATATTATGTTATTTCTGTTTTAGTGATGCACAGTTCACCAGATTTTAATGGTATAACATTTACTCCTTCTTGGTATACGTTTGCAGTCGAAAATTACGTATCCAATACCACTGATGCACCACCAGAAGAAAAAAACACTTATGTAGACTCTTCGACGATAACGTTAACCACAACCGATTCTCTTGATATCGGAAACAGTTCTCACAATATGTCCAAAAAGGAAGAAGATAAATCATGTATACTTACATGGCTATATACTGAATATGTTTTTATTTTATTTTTTAATAATGTTAATTAGATAGTATAGATCAATAGATTTCCAGATAAAGGAAATAGAAATCGTTTTATGTTTTTATAATAGGTACCTACATCAGTTGACAACGGGTCAATATATATATACTGTGTTTTTTTTCTGTTTTAGTGATGCACAGTACACCAGACTTAAATAATATGACATTTATTCATTTTTGGTATACGTTTGGGGTTGAAAATAACGTATCCAATACTACTGATACACCATCGGAAGAAAAAAATACTTATGTAAACTCTTCAACGATAATGTTAACCATAACCGATTCTCGTGGTATCGAAAATGGTCCTCACAATATGTCCAATAAGGGAGAAGGCAAGTCGAAACTTGTTCAAATATATCATTTTATAAACATTAGTACTAATGGAATTTTGATGTAGTCGAGAAATTATCTAATGATCTACGTTTGTTTTTTTTTAAACATTTTCTTGTTTTTTTTTTCACATCACTTTGACTAACTAATAGTAAAGACATTATGCTTATTATGATCTCGACTTAAATGTTCAGAATGTAAATCATTTCACATTTTAATAATATAATAGATAGTTGATATAATTATATCATACTTGTATCTGTTTTAATAGTGCACATCAGTCCATCAGACTTTCTCTTTATTCTTTCTCGGTTTAAGCTTCCGGTCAAAACACACGAATTCAGCAATACAATTAACACACCATTAGAAAATAATATCGTTGGTGTCAATTCTTCAACGACAACATTGAAATCAAAGTCGGACGAAGTCGGTAACAATGCTCCTCTCGTTGCGCCTAAAAACGTAGAAGGTAAGTCATACCTTAATCTGACTATTGTATATTATATTACCTACACATTATGTTTTGAAATGTTTTAAATCAACAAAACAGTATTTTAACAGATCCTGATTTGGGGCTCCTATATAACTATATTCCTATGTGAACATATTTTTTGAATATTTAATTTGTATTTATAAGATTATTGTACAATATACTTACATTTTTAAATTAATTTATGAAAACCCATAAATATTCAACTATAATAAAATATTAAATAATATTTTCAACTTATTGGACATACTATAATAAATAAGACATTAACGGTAAAAATAAAATAAAATTATAGGGAGTTTATGTTATTTTAAATATATATATATATATATATATATATAATCATCTTATGTCTTACGGCCTACCATACTTACTGTGATTCGTCTGAAATAAACAATTTCAATTAAATGATAGTACGGCAACTACAGGCTTTTAGATACCTACAAATACAATCAAATATTTATCTACGGTACCATAAACTCTTGTATTAAATCAACAAAAGTTAAAAGATAATTTATATTTCGAATCGAAAAACGTGTTATTTAAAAAAAATATATCGTAGATAGTGCTCCCTAATTTTCTGGTCATTCATCATTTTGTAGGTTGCTACAACTACACTATTTACGTCTTATTCCGGTTTGAGAAAATAAATATCGTATTTATCTTAAACTTATTCATGATGCTCTTAAATATACGTATATAAAATAATATATATATAATATATATGTGTTTTGTGTTATATTTCTTCTGTATTATTACAAAGTTCGTCTATACATCTAACTATATTTTTTATTGCTTCACTAAATTTATTATTATTATCTTTTGGGCCACAACGATTATGTAAATGTGTGTGCCTTGACAATTCCATCGTAATAATAATACTGAATCATGATAAAATAAAATAAATTACGTAGGTACCTACAGTATTTATATTTTATTTTAGTAGATACTGAGTACCTACATTAAATTAATAATGTACTCAGTATGACTAATATAAATACCTTGTCATTGTCCAATTTAACATCAAATTCCTTTCGTATTCTCTTACATATTGTTAGGTATTCATTTGTCACGCCGTCTCATACATTTACAAAGTTTTAAAGTTACAACTACGTAACAATATTAATAAGTAATATTATTACTACCACCCAATTTTATTTTCATTTAACAAACACGTTTTTATTTTATTAAGTACCACCTACTAAAAAATCTGGCTGAGGCTGAAAGTAATAATTAATGCCTATCTTATTATGATCTATATAGCTTTTTTTAAATACAATTATTTTTTTTAACTGAACTTACTACTAATATAAAATTACGACATTGATATATTATACAACAAACAGGCAGACAAATTTGCTCAGCTCTAAAAAAAAACCTCTAAAAATTGTGCACTGATTTTCTTATGTTTAATTATATTTTAGAGATAATATTTTTCTGTTCCATAATAATATATAAAGCATTACCTTTGTTGTGTGGGTTCATAATATTACATTGTTCAATATGCCATGCCTCAATAAATGCTTATATAACATTGACAATAACAAAACTTTTCGTTGTCATTCAACGCTCGTAACATAAAAACCGTTGTTTATAACTATTAATTTCAATTACAATCACTCAATAAAATATATTAAAAATATATTGCTGTTATTTATTTTTTTCTTTTACACACAAATGTACATGTTTTTGCTTAAAATTGACCTTTTGGTTTTCGCCCATATGATCTTTTTTACCTATACTCTAAAATTATTCACTATAAACAAAAAATAAAAATAAATATTTTAGTTACCGTTGTATTTTTTTTTAATTAAAAATGCTATTTAATCTTTTTATTGATAAGCGTCAATGTAAATATAAAACACATATACAAATATAGTTATACAGTCGAATTGGCTTATAACGATGCCGTTTACAACGATATTCCGGGTAAAACAATTCCAAGCAATGTATTTGGTTGGTTTTATATCTTATGTGTTGTTACATTTTATAATCCGGATATAATGAAGTTCAGTTATAATGATCAGATTCTCTTGGTCCCTTGAAGATCATAATAAGCGAATTTGACTGTAATAAAAAACAAATCATTTACCAAAGCTATGGCTTATGGATAAAATGCAAGACATTTAAAAGCGAATTTAAATATATAAAAGTAAAATTCATAAATAAAAAAAAATAAATAGTTTCATGTATAATAAAAAAAATATTTATTTAAATTATGATACATGGCTTTGATAAACTCATAATGTGTAATTCGACTATATTTGTATTGAGTAATTTAAAATTGATTTATTTCTTATCGCTTCAATACTGAGTTTTATTTCGACATTTTCAAAAAAAATTGCTTTATTAATTTAATGATAAATTTCGGTTTGGATTTCATTAAGAATAAAATCCAATCATGGCGTGATAGACGGCGATTTTGTATTGAAAATTTTATTAAAATACGAGTGAAATAATTCTCATGTATTCGTTGTTAATCTAATACTTAAAGAGTTACACTTTCAAAACTCAGGAGGAAAAGTACCTATTATCATCTGAAATATAATTTCCAATCACGTATAATCACAGAATTTTGTTATTCTATCAACAATTGAACAATCGGTCATTAAATCTTCAACAAAACAGTCAGAAACTTCTTCAAGTTTTAAAAATATTAAACCAAATGCATCATGTAACCAAGTATCAATAACTGATAAACTATCATTGTAATAAACTAATAACTAACTACAAATAACCAATGAAATATAACTTTTATTTTTAGAGCAATGTATAGTAAATATTTGAGTCCAAAATCAAGTACAGCATTTAAATGTTTCATCAACATAAATCGAATCAACCTCACGTAACAATTTTAAATTTGTATCACATGAAAAAATAACAATATTTTTTATTAAATCATTGAGAATTGAAAATTGTTAGCCTTTACTAGTTATCACATTTTTATCTTTTAAAGCTAAATTAGCTAATATTTATAATATTTCTAAGAATTACTAGCAGAACTTTTCTACGATTTTTATATACAATATTTTGAATTTTATTCATATCGTCATAAGTGAAGTTATCTATAAAAAAGCTATTTCGTGTTTACAATTTTAGTATTACAGTAAAATCTTGATAATCCGACACATATCAGACCACGCCGGATTAACGAAAACGCCGGATTAATGGGGAGTTCACAAAAAAACGCATTTTTACTCGTATTAAAAAATGATTTTAAAATCTTTTAATTTGAAAGCAGTTTTCTTTTTGTTTATTAGGATTAGATCTGTTATTACTTAGTTTTATCTAACGGTTTATCGTTTACGATAGTAAATTTATATATAAATACATATGGGTACATATAGGTTAATACAGCCGGATTAACGAGATTCTACTGTATTACTTTTTTTTTTATAAGTATGGATATCATCTATAACTTTACATTTACACGCTGTACTTACAGTGTAAATATTTTCGTTTTCATTTAATGGTTCGTGGTCGTGTTAAATAGAATTTCAAACACTTGTTACTATTCCATGAGTGATATATATATTTGCTAAACAATTATGTTTAATACAGCGCCAACGAATTGAGCCAGTTGTAATATTTTCCAAGCTAAAATTTTACTCGTATAGTTATTAATAGCAATAATTTTTTCCCTCTCTTTTTTACTTTTTAAAAACACTGCAGCCAAACTAAGTAAAGGCTATTCAAATAAATTGTAACTCGATTATAATATTGAGTGACTTGTCTGATATATTGGCGCGATTGTGGCGTGTAATTTTATCTCAAATTGTATCCGTACATTCAGCGCAATTTTCTATTATTACTTACCTGATTAATTAGTGAGCTTACAGTGTATAATTTAATTAAAAATTTTGAATGTTCTATGTATAAGTTGAATTAATTTTTTTTATATATTTATATATATTTTAATATTTCATATTCGTATCATACAGACTCGTGGACAGTAGTAGCCAACATTTTTTTTTCGTTTACGATGAATAATATTACTTTGGGTAAAACAGGTCCACTGAAAAATTGTATATGCAGTAGAAAGTAATAGCGATTTAAAAGAAGATTACAACATTTTAAAATATTAGGTACATAATATGTATTTGTTATAATTAAAAGTATTTATTTTATTTTAATTTATTTATTAATATTATACATAAATTATATATTATATGATTATATATTTGAGTGAATTTCATACACTAAAAATTAGTTTTTTAAGTGAAATTTAACAAAATTTCTATTTAACAATTTTTTTTAAAGAATTTTTAAGTTCGTTAAATAGAGGTTCCGCTGTAAAATAATCTGTCGAAATAAAGAGGCATGATGTTCAAAAAAGTACAATTCTGTTTTAAATGTGATATATGTCCACCTTACACCAATACATCTTTCCGTGTAATAATTGTGAAAATCCTCTAGATCAACGAAAATAAAGTATAATAAAAAGTTTTTTATTTAATAATTAATGTACCTATAACTCTGAGTATGGTTAGATTTATGGGTAATGGGTTTAATGAAAAATATCGTTTTACGTTTTTATAACACAATATATATTTATAATATATATAATTTTATGTTCTGGTTTTAGTGACACATAAATTATCAGCCGTCGATGATTCGAATATTTCTCCACTATACACACTTACTGCCAAAACACACATTAACAATACTTTTGGTAAACCATTAACAGAAAGCAGTACTCGTGAATACCCTTCTAAGGTTAATTTGACGACCGCAACAAATTCTACTGATACCGAAAAAATTTCTTTTAATATGTCCAACTATAAAGATGGTCAGTCTAAAATTTATTTTTAAATATTAATAATCACGGATATAATTAATAAATAAATTTTCTGTTTTCACAAAAAAAGCGTGCGGAAGGCAACTTATTCCAATAACTAGAATAGTTGGAGGCGATAATGTTGCTTTTGGCGAGTGGCCGTGGCAGGTAAATACATGTATAGTATACATTGTATACGGTGCAACCCATTTGTGCCCGAACGGATTTATCGTAGCCTATTTGCGCTCCAAATCATAACCCATATGCGCCCGATTAAGATCATGTGAAAATTGTACGACATTACCATTTATTGAGTATATTGGTATAACTATAAAATTTAGAATAATATTTTGTCGTTACCCATGCTAATCGAAAACAATATCGAAATCGATAGTGATAATATTTTGTCGTTAATCGTGCTAAAATCGTAATTGTAAAATCCCAATCAATAAAGATTATACTAAATAAAAATGCATTAATTATTAATTGTATTTTAAGTGTCAGTTTCATCTGTACATGGACAATGAGTAGTACTACTATAATATAATGTAATTTTATATAACTTTTTCAAGTAAACAAAAAATTTGTTTAGTTTTTCGTTATTTTAAATATCACCTGAGTAAACGTTAGTCAAGTTGACGTTGTGTAAAAAAACCTATAGTGCATAATATGTCAAAATCAATAATTCAAAAACGAAGTTAACCGAAATTAAAGACAGTCATACCCATGATCCGGAAACTGAAGAAAGTTAAAACTTACTGGACGTTCAAGATAGATGTAAAAGAAAAGCCTGCGAAGATTTAACTTTACGACCGATAAAATAATACGTAGGTACAAAGTTTTCCACGAGCAGTACAGCTAAGCATTCTGATGTTCATAATATTCAGTATGCACAGCGTATGTCGAAAAACATTACCCCCAGTTCCTAAATCACTCATCGAAGCAATTGAACAAATTTCTAATTTATTAATTTTAATATAAATAATATATAGATACATAGTATGTTATATATATATATATACTGTGTAGTATTTATCATTATTTTAAAAATGATTACTGTTTACTTATTTGTCTTAAACGATAACTGACAGCAACGTTGCATGCAAAATGAGCGCATTTGAGCTATAAATCAAGGTGTTAAGTTTTTTATTTAGGGCGCAAATGTCCATAACCCTCGTGGCGCAAATGGGCTACAGCCCATTTATAAATACCTATATCGATACTTATTATAATTTACGAGTATAACTAATACAATTCGTTTTTTCATTTAAGATTTCATTAAGACATAAAATACAGTTTTTACACAAATGCGGAGCGGTATTATTCAATGAAAACTGGGCTATAACTACTGCTCATTGTGTCATAAAGTAAATATATTAAATATAATAAATAGTTTATCGGTTATATATTATTATCATGTCTTATGCTATATTTGTGTACCTACTTAGTATTTATTCATATGTATTTTACGAGGAAACGATAGTCTCCCGGGTAGTATTTTTTAAAAGGATTTATTATTTGCATTTATAATTATTATAATTTATTATAAATTTTAATACAATTACAATACAATATTGTTATTTGATCATTTTAAGAATCGGAGATTATTTGATTAATAACAAAAAAACTAAATACATTTTTTCAATTTTGTTTACACCTATTGAACATTACATTAAATTGATCATTTGATATTTCAATACATTTTAAGCTACGAAATCATATATTAATTTTGTACACTAAAATTAAGTAATTAAATAAATATTCTTATTTATTATTTTAGTTTAGATTGAGGCTGATAAATGGTTTTACAATAGAATATTTATTTTTAATTTTGATTTTTTTTTTTTTTTTTATCTCTTGAAGCAAAAGAAATGCTTCTATTTTAAATTTTAAGGGTGATTTCTGATAGCAAATACAATTTGGTTGATATTTTTAGAAAAGTCGGAATAAAACTTATACAGTTCTTTTCAAAACTAAAAAAACGAGAATAAGTACAAACCAAAAGTTTTCGAACAATTTTCTTTTCTACTATGTTATAATAAAAATAAATAAACGTAAATACTTGACGAAAATTCCTTTTTTGTTCCCCATATAACACTATCCTGTATAGGTAACAAAAATATAGCACCAGGGCGCAAAGTTATTGATGTCTATCCACCTTAACTTATCTTTAAAATTTGTTTTTTATTATTTTATATAGGTATATTCGCGACGGCAACAACGGTCATTAGAGTATTTCTTATTAAACTGATTAAATTGAATTTTTTTTTAGCGTTCCAGTGAGAGACTTACATCTCTTATTCGGGGAAAACGATTTGTCAGTGAAAAAACCTCACGGTAATGTAACTAGGACATTGCAGAAAGTAATTATACATCCAAAGTTTAAGAAAAATAAACCGAATTACGACTTGGCACTATTGCAATTTGATAAACCTGTCAAATTTCAACCAAACATTTTACCAGTTTGCATTCCAGAAGACGATTTAAATTTTGTAGGATTTTCTGCTCATGTTACTGGTTGGGGAACTTTGTATTATGGTAAAAATTGTGTTAATAATATATAAAATCAATTTGCTATAATAAATGGTATTACAATATAACCTCGATTATCCGAACCTCCGTTACACAAACCCTCTCATTTATTATCAAAACATCAAAAATATACGTCAATTTATAAGTATATCCGAACATTACAGCTAATACAGCTGATACCTAATCGGTATACCTACCGATTTTCTCATTATTTTTTTTTTTTTACAATTATTACATTTATTACGTACAAATAATGTGATAAATTTATGAAAAAAAAAATATAATATGTAATATACATAATATTATATGCTCGTAGGTACTACATAATATTAAATGGGTATATAAAAACCCATATTCATACAATTTTTAAAAAGTTCCGAACTTTCTAGCCTAACCGAATTAAGTATAAGATTCCAGTTGTTCGGATAATCGAAGTTAATAAACCTACTGACTACTGTATACAAATATAAATGCATAGTTTAGTTTAGTTATATTCTATTTTATATGCCACTCTTAAATAATTAAAATAATGGTATTGAATGTAGTGTAACTAATTAATTTGATATTAACATAGCTATTTATATTATTATATTTTATAAAAACATATAATAATGATAATTTTAACAATTTAGTAGTTCCCATTGTTTTAAAAACGATCGACTTTAAAATCGTTTGCGATCGACTGTTTGGCCGCCTCTGCTATATAATGTATAATATTTACAAAAGCCAAAAAGTTTTTAGTTTTATATGATTCTCTACAGGCGGAAATTCGCCTTCTATTCTACAAGGAGTAGCAGTTCCAGTAATTAGCAATTCCGCTTGTGAAAAAATGTTCCGTGCGGCTGGATATATAAAACAAATTCCGGACACATTTATCTGCGCGGGCACAGAAAGCGGAGGTGTCGATGCATGCAAAGTAAGTAAACTATATCAATCGTGCAACTTGTTTTATTCAAACCGATAAATTAAATATCAAATGCTCTTATATATAGGGTGACTCGGGTGGCCCCTTGGTTGTACAGAGACCCGACAAACGCTGGGTCGTGGTGGGTATCGTGTCGTGGGGCATGCGATGTGGCGAACCAAATAGTCCCGGAGTGTACATGAGAATCTCAAAGTTCAAAGACTGGATTAATCAAATAATATTACAATCTTAATAGACAGAGAAACACACTTCGACATATACAATATCTGGTAGATCGATCATCGGTTGTACAATATCTTTTACTATTCTTATTTTTAAGTTCAACCTAACTTTTTTTTTAAAAATTTTTATTTATCAATCAAATTAATATTATTTAATATTATATAAATACCTACACTATATTATAACTGTCACTAGATGAAGTCTTTTTAAATTTTGGAACTAATGTTCCGATATATTTTTAAAATCATATTTTTTAAATTAGCCATTTAATATAGTACTTACTAATGTATACACAATTTAATATTTAAGTTTATTTTTTTTAAATAAATATTCATTTTTTTCTAAGACTATATATCACGAAATCTGAATTATATAAAATAAGTTCCTATCCAAACGTGTAACAAGTCTAAATTCTTTAATATTCAGTGACGCATCCATAGTTGAATTTTTTTTTTTTTTTTTTGGATGGAGGACTCCTAAAAAATTACTTTTTAGCCGTATATACATTATGATGTTCTAGGTCAAGTGTTCCTAAAAATATGAAAAAAATATGGTTAAGAGAACGTTACTAATTTTATTATAGTTAGATTAAAAATCGTTTATATTATTCAGGTATACCTATCCTATAATAATAATTATACTATCACAAATTTTAAAATAACTCCTATGATACAAAATCGAATCTACACTTATTTAATTAATTTAATTGATTATAATGCGTTATTACACAATTTAAAATAATTGTAAAAAGACAAGCAGACTATTGAAGAGGTCTGAGAAGAGGAGAGCTGAAGTCCCTCTGAATCCGCCACTTTTAATATTTATATTTATGAAATATTTTTATGTTGATAATTTACTATCATAGTAATATTGAAAATTTTAATCTTTAACTATTAATTTATAACAAAAATTCCAGGTTATGCATAATAATGCAAATCTAATAATAATATGTGGGTCAATAGATGAATTAAATCAAAAATAAATTAAAATATTTTGAGATTTTATCATATTTATGGTCAGATATAGGTACTATTAAAAAAGTTAATTTGTAATAAGCTAGCTGCTAGGTGAATGATGTATAAAAATTAAGTTCAGTCAAGAATTGTTGTTATAAATTCAAGTATATAGAATTCTGAATTACAATGATCAATTACTACTAAATTAACATAATTTACTTGTATTGAATTGTTGACAAATATTTAAATACCATCTACTTTAATGTTAAAGTTAATGGTAATTATAATTTGTATTCACATAAATTTCAAATTCTAATGTATCTATAAATTTAACCACATTTCAAAATTATTTTAAATCAAACGATATTAAAAATAAATTTTGCATCAAAAAAATAGATTCATTGAAATGCAAATTGAGTATTATTTAAGTAATAATTTAAAGAATAAACAATTTCTTTCAAGCTTTTAATATTTTTAGTATACTGTATCCAAATTAAAATCATCATTAAAAAAAAGTTTTAAATAAAACTTTGATGATAATTAATTACAAATTAGAAGTGAATACTATTAATTTACAGGATGGTAATATATAAAATAAAGAAGAATATTAAATATATTTCCAAAGATCAGTAAATTTCTTTTCAATAGGTATTTATTTGTTAAAAAGTTTTCAAGTGAGTAACTTTTATGATTTGTTTGCTTACCTGTTTTTAAATGCATTTTTATTTTGGCCAAATCACACACTTAAGGCTCTTCTACCTGCAATCCATCTTGTCTATTTGAAGTCCACAGGCACATTTTAAGCAATGCATTCATTTTTTAATACATTTTTACTTTTTAGTCATTTGATATATATATTTTTATGAATTTGACCTGTGAGATTTAGAAAAAAAATAATAGGTCACCTAAACAGTTGAAACCTATGTTTTAGAATATATTATCTGTTTAGATATAAACAGCTTTCAAGTTTTCAATTTGTGTATAAATTAAAAATAATGTACCTACTTATTATTATTTTATTATTTATATAGTCAACACCAAGTCTACAAATTATAGCATCAGAGTTATAACATAATATTAGTGCTCTTACCTAGAATTAAAACAAAAATTCACCTAAATTGGCCAAAATACTAAAAGACATTTTTTATGTAAAATAACTATAATTATTCTGCTTTGGTACAAGCATTAAAAAACAAAAATATTCTATTGACGCAATAAAAAAATTAATAAACATATATATTTATTTATACAAGTACTGAAAATGATTTTATTAATGAATTAAAATATATATTTTGTTAAGAACAATATTATCATAAATTAATAAATGGACAACAGAGATCAGACCTCAATAGATATTTTTAAAGTGTATTCTCGATTTATTCAGTTTTAAAAGCTCATAGTATGTTATTTAATATTTATAAATTATAAACAAAAAGCATTAAATAAACAGAATACTATTTAAGAAATTGTAAGATTTTTTAAAATTATTATTTGTTAAAAAGAATTAAAGGATAGATTTGAAATAATAAGTTGAATAGTATTGAACATAGACAACTACTTTTACAGAATACTAACCCAAAAATTTGAACATCAGCAATTAATTAATACAAGTAAATTAAAATTTATTTTAAAACTGAATATCTGAGAAATTAACTGTGGCCCTTAGTGACCTGGACAAACAAAATGTCTCGAGGCTAAGTAATAATCTTTAATTATTTGTAAAAATCAATAATAAATTAACAGTAAACACTCATCTTTATATCACATTAAACAAAAATTGTGATGTTTTATAAATCTATGTTTTCATCAATTTTGTTAACAATAACAAATTATTTATTAAAATTATTTTATTAAACAAATAAACTTAGGAAACATAGAATGGTTTTAAATTCATAATAAAAATATTTTTCAATCACAATATTTTTTTAATGATATTTTAGGTACTATACTCATTGCTTGCAGTTCTTGAAATAGTAATTTGCACGCATAAGGCATTTTGATTCGGCAAACTGAATTACTTTTTTGGCACATGTGACACCAACCAGAATATGAAAATAAACCACATAATTTGCAAACGTCCATTTCCACCACATCACTGCTTAACATCAATCTTTCAATAATCAGCATACTAGCACCATATGCAATAAGACAGTCTCTTTCCATCTCTCCCATTCGAAGTCCACCATCTTTTGATCTACCTTCAGTTGGCTGCCTAGTCAACAGCACCCTAGGTCCTCTGGATCGAGCATGTATCTTATCAGCTACCATGTGTTTCAGACGTTGATAGAAAACTGGACCCGAGTAAATATATGCTTCCATTGGTCTACCATCAATACCACAGTATAATACATCTTTTCCCAGATAATTATAATTATGTTTCTGCAACTCATTACTAATATCAGTAACAGTTGCACCACCGAAAGCACTGCCGTCTTGAAATTTGCCTTCTAATACGCCAGCTTTACCAGCTAAAAGTTCAATAAGTTTACCAACTGTCATACGAGATGGAAAACCATGAGGGTTCATAATCAAATCTGGGCATATTCCAACTTCATTAAAAGGCATATCCTCTTGATCTACAATCAAACCAACCACTCCTTTTTGACCATGTCTACTACTAAATTTGTCACCAATTTCAGGTCGCCTTGGTTGTCTAAAGTTTTCTTTAATCAAAAAACAATCACTATTTGATGTTATCATCACTTTGTCAATATATGAAGGGTCATATCCTTTGTAAAATAAGGGCGTTTCTTTAAACCCTCTATCGCCACCTACATCTTCTACAGTAATAGTTTTTGGTGTAGCTTTATTGATTGTGACTTGTTTATCAAATACTGGTTGGCCAATAGCTGCTATACCATCATTTTCTAATGCCCTATGTTTATAGATTGGTTTTTTTGTAGCATTATCAACAATAGGTCCCTGTATAGAATCCATCATTTGATTTGGATAATGTCTTAAGAAACATTTGGAGTTCCTAAATGTTCCACCTCTTCCAAAACCTCTATCAACACTAGCCTTATTCAATATGATAGCGTCTTCAATATCATAGCCGGAGTAACTCATAACAGCAATAGTAGCATTTTGACCAGCTGGCAACTTATCATAATTGATCATTGGTACTGCTTTAGAATGAACCATTGGTATGTGTGTGTACCACAAATTGTATTGAAGTGTATCTATTCTATGTTGGTAATTTAAAGCAATAGTACCTATTGCTTGTTTACCCATAGCACATTGATAAGTGTTACGAGGTGACTGGTTATGATGTGGAAAAGGTATAACACTAGCACATATACCCAGTATGCTGAAAGGTGCCATCTCCATATGAGTAGTTTCAGGAACAATCTTCTCTTCATTATATGCTATTAAACAGTTATTTTCTTCGTCGACATCAATAAATTCAATAAGAGATTGATCTATAAAATCTTGAAATGTACAATACCCTCTTTTTAAGTCATCAATATGAGCATTAGTCAGTAATGGCTGACCATTTTCTACAACTAAATACGGTCGACATAATCTACCATCACCAGAGTTGATGTAAATACACTTGTGCCGTTCTGATATGTAAATGGAAATAAACTTGCTGAATATACCTTTCCGCCTACATTTCCGGAATTTTTCAACAAAGTCAATACATTTATTAGTGGAACCAATGATATTTCCATTAAATATTATTAAATACGTATAATCTTCATGTAAATCGTTTACTGAATGTAAACCCACAGGTTCAACTCCCAAATCAAGAGCTAATCGTAATACAGCATCATCGTCTACAGATTCAGTCGTCACATGAGCTAAAAGTGAAATATTTTTTATGAGTCCACAAGCTTCTCCTTCAGGAGTATCAGAAGGACACAACATTCCAAACTGTGATGGTTGTAATGAACGTGGTCCTGATACCTTTCGACTTTTTTCAAACTGTGAATTGACCCTAGTCATCATACCTATAGCTGATAAGTATGACAATCTAGTTAAGACCTGAGTAACACCATGTCTTTCCATACGAAATCTCTTGATAGACCAATTACCAGTTTGAATAGCAAATACCAAAGCATTTGTAATTGTATCGGTTCTAATGTACTTGATTATATCAAATGGAGTAGCCTTCACTTTTGGTATATTCTTATCAGCTACAGATTTCAATTCAAAAGTGAAGCGTTTAAAGGTGTCATCAAAAAGCAAAGATAAAAATGACCCAGGCAAGTCTAAACACTTATTACCGTAGTAATCTTTACTATCAAATAAATCTGGATTAGACAAAGAAAAAATTAATCGTCTAACCATGATTGAAGTGTATATAGCTTTCATATGATAATTAGTATTAGTCACAGGTATATGAGCCAAAATTACAGTAGATAAAAAATCATGTACTTCAGTAATAACTCTGCTATCATAGTCTTCAGAGGTAAATCCCATTTTTTTAATACGATCTCCAATAAATCTAAGAGCTTGTTTTTGAGTATAAATATTTAACTTGCTACTTTCTAAAAAGCATGGATACATTTGATTCATAATAGCAAACTCTGTGCCAACCATCTGTAGTATCAACTGATCTGAACAGACACCAAGGGCTTTCATAAAAATAACAAAAGGTATATTCTCCTCAAGAGCATTATGACAAACATAAATTAAATTTTTCTTAAAAATAATGTTAGTTTTAGACTTTTTGTCAACAGTACTACTCATTACTTGAACTGTAGGTACTCCATTAGAATCTTTTTCGACCAATATTTTGTTTTTGGCAGGTTGTTCTTGCATTAATATTACTTTTTCAGTTCCTTTTACTATAAAATAACCACCAGAGTCATATATACATTCTTTCATTTTTGCTAACTCAGCATCTGATTTCTGGTAAAGACAGCACCGATTACTTCTTAACATTATAGGTAGACGACCAATAATGAATCCTTTTCGAAGATATTTCATGCCGCTTTTAACATATTCAATATCAACATAAATAGGAGCACAATATGTTAAATCTCGTAGGCGGCATTCTTGTGGTGTAACATTTCTAGTAACATTAAAACCATCATCTACCTAAAAAATAAAAATATCATTAATTCTCATACTGAATTTTTTATTACATTTTTCATCAGAATGTTATGAAAAAGAAATATTAGAAATATAAAATATTTCAAAAGTTACATTTAAAAATAATTGATTAACAGTTTGTATTTATTACATGAATTATTATTTATAAATTGAACAAAGTTAAAATTCAAAAATTTAAAGTCCAAAAATAAACAGAAAAAAAGAATTACTACTGTAGCTGTAAACATATTTAAGTATTTATAAAAAAATTTTAAATTTATTTTAGATATAATGAATTTGAAAACTTTGATGACGACAATTAATAAAAATAAGTCATAGCACTAGCTATTTATATATCATAATTAAATGTAGGATTTTTATTGTCTAGAGTGTTCTCTTGAATCATTAAATCAAACCACTTGAAATAAAATATAAATATTCTCTGAGCCTCGGGAAAGTTTATGGTTGTAAAGAATATGATTGTCTAATGGCATAGAATTATAGAGTATACTATTCTAAAGCTCTTGACTGTAGCTTTGTAACAGTACATAAAGTTTTACGATAAATCAATTATTTTTTGTATTTTTATTTAAGGTTCAAACATTTTTTTTTACTTTTATTGTAATTTAATAGTGTTTTTAGTATAATGGTTTATTTTAACAGGGATATAATGTATACTATATTGTTTTAAAGTGCTTTCAAGCAGTTTTTCAATAATATATTATAATTTCTGGTTTATAAAGTTAATTGGCTTATTTTGATGTTTGAAAAATTATTTTTATCATTTATTATACAGAATTTCTTGATAAAGCAGTTTATTTAATTCAGTATATACTAATTATTAGGAATATTATAAAGTTATGAACAACTATTATGATACAATTATTGTATGTAACCTGGAAGATTTTAATGAAACATATATATTTATTCCTTTGAACTTTATGTGTAGTATAGTACTTTTAAAATGAAAGATTCTATTAGTTGATAGTCTAATTATTGCTATCAGAAAAAAAAACAATATTGCATTCAAACTAAATATAACATAAAAAATAAAATAAAAATAAAATAAAATTATTGCATACAATTTTTAAGTTTTATTACTTCATCTAAAGTAATAATTCTAAACATTCTAAAAGTTATATGGTTAAACAAATAAATGAAAAATTCCGATAATTGAATTGCTTTACAATACTAATTATTTAATTCCTAATAGATTAAAAAAATAATATTGTTATTCTATCAAAAATGAAGATCTTATAATATACATTATTAACATTAATTCAGTTAAAAACTTTGAAATCAAACAATTTTAAGTAAAAAAAGTAAATTTAAAAATATATACATATTAGTTAAAAATAAAAACTTAAAAATTTATTTTATATTATTTAGATAATGTTAATACTGTGATTCAAAGTATAAGTAAAATTAATAACATATTTATAAAAGATAGACGATAATTTTTCAAAAAATAAATAATTTTTATTAATGATAATGATTAAAAGCAATATTAAAATAACATTAAAACATATACTTAGAAGATGTCAGCGCACTGTTTGTTTTTTTTCTAGCCTACACGTAACAAAGACAAAATGCCTTTACAGAAAACCATTTTTTGATAATTTTGAGTAATCATAGAATTACTATATATTTCATTATTATTTGACATAGTATTGAACTTTCAAAATAAATAAATTATAAGTTTAAATGATTTTGAAATAATATTTAGCTAATTAGATACGTTATACCTTCAAAAATATTTTTTTGTAATTTTTATTATGAATGATTTCACTTTAAAATTACTCAAAAAGTGATTCTGCGTAAATGGGTTTTGTCTATGTAATGTGTGGACAAAAGAATAAATCATTTTCATGGCTCAGATTATATTAATTTCAGGTTACATTAATATTATAGAACACACTAGTAAAAAAATGTTGAAGAACAGAAAATACCATAATAAATTAAGAAAAAGTCTGAGTTAATGAATACGATAATAAAAAATATTTATCATTGATTCAATTATTGATAATATTCTACAATGTGAATATATTATACAACTAAAAAAGATAAAAATGAAAATAATATACATAATTTATTTATGTTTTTAAAGTTTAACCAATTATCCCATTAAAAATATGATAATCTGTTAAATATACCTGCAGGCTGTTACTAGATGAATTGAAAAAATACAATTAAATTAATAATAAATTATTATTTAAATACATTTTTAATTTGATAGAAAGATAAAAAATAAAATTGGAATAGATTTTTTATTATTTTACTTGTATTATTTTTAGTTTTGTATTTCTATAACGAAAATCAAGCTGTAAAAAGACTTAGGTTCCAATGTGAATAATGTTTCTATTCTTCTTTATCTCATAGTTATTTTTGTTAATTTGAAAACGAAAATCGATATTTTATAATGTAATGTTTTATTTGCCTATATTAAGCACTATTAGCATAATACCTATTATTATTAAATTATTTAAACATAATTATAAATTATTATATTCATAAAATAAATAATACGTATGGCATGTAACCTAAATTATTATGTTATTGTACCTGTGGATGGCCAACGGTAACATTTTTAAAATGCAAATAAAAATTTGGATCTGCATCGCTTCGTACAGAATGGTTTTGCTGAATGATTTTCTTCAAATCACTATCGATAAATGCGTTAAAAGAGTTAATATGATGACTGTATAATCCACGAGTTTCCAAGTATTCTTTGACTAAAAATTCCTTGTCACGAAGCACTTCGACCATTTTTAATTTGTTTCAGTTCTTATGCCACTGTAATGAGTAATGACATTCGACAGAGTTAAAAAAACTTCGAAAAAAAATACTAACGTTAAGAACAAAGTAAAACGTCTACAACAGAAATTCGAAAAAACGTGCGTTTGTTGTTATTCACAAGAAAATGATAAACTGACAAACGTGTGATAGCATAAATGATAAAAAATTATGTTACTTCACGCTATCTGTACGCTGTATAATATACATAGTAAGCTCATGCCTCATAGCTAATATATTTTGAAAATTCAATTCCAAAAAAGTGTTGTAGAATACTTTAATGTGAACGATCTCTAAACATAAACATCATAAAGTAATAATATTCATATAATAACATAACAAAATGATTCTTAAGTTGTAGGATAAATAATTAATAATCACTATAGTTAAATATACCTCCATAGAAAACAAACTATATGCATACCTCCATGTCTGATGTCGGTACTTGTTACTAATACAGTGAAAACTGTCTAAAGCGGACCCTGAATAAAACGGAAAACTATCCAATATGGAATTTTTCTATGGTCCCGGCACGTTCCTATAGTTTTATATAGACGCTAACTTCAATAAAACGGAACCTTCATAACGCGGAAACGGAACGATTTTGTAAGTCCCATGCAAGTAAAAACCTTGCATAAACCGGAAAAATGACACGAGCGTATCAAATCTAAACCAAAAATAAGGTATAAAATATAGATATGCCGATGTACATTGTACATCGTTAAATAGTGATAAAGAAGATAAAATTGTTCTATAGGTACATATTCGTAAAATATAATATGTACATTGTAGTATTGTACATACAATGCATATTATCGTATCTTAAACGATACAAAATTTCTTCTTTGTAACTGTGAAACAGTCTTACACCAACAGTCGTACATACACTTTTAATTCTATTTTATCTTCCGTTCATCGCATTAAATAGGTATTAAAATGTCAAAATATAAGTGTCTTTCATTAAATGAAAAATATCAACTGATCAAATTTAATAAATTTTAATGAATTATGTTATGTATTTAAAACAATAAATTGAGAAATATTCTTTGATATTTCTTATTCATTTGAATTGAATAATCCGGAATTTTTCCGTTTTATTGAATAAAGCGGAAAACTGCTTAAAGCGGAATTTTTTGTTGGTCCCATGCGATTCCGCTTTAGACAGTTTTCACTGTATCGTTAAATGACATGATTTGTACAGTGCCGCAAACTTATTACGTATAACTTACATCTTAATTCTTGGTAGGTATCCATAAATGTTGAAAATGTATTAATTATCATAATCATGTAGCTACTATACTAAGGCGGACACCTATATATACTGACAAGTAGGTACTTATACAAACATTTCAATATTTATTTGATAAAATCGGAATCATTTTTAAATGAGTAGATAATTTACTTACAATTTAAATAAATACATTATTAATTGGTATTAATAACGAAAGTCGATACCTAATTACAAAACCATCCTAGTATGAAAATATTGCAGTAGGTACCTACTTACCTACATTTAATAATATAATTAAATAATTCTCATGAGCTTTTATATTACCTATATTATTATGGTTTAACCTAAATTTTATTTTGCGAAATATTGTTTTTAGTTTACTAAAACTTATCTAATGTCTGACTTAATGCTAAATATTGTCACTTATTACATGAATCTCCTCTTAACCTAGTTCTAGTTAATAATTTCAGTTCTTAAAATGTTAACGTATTTTAAGAGGTAATAACATATAAAGAGTACCTTGACTCTATGTCTCCATGTATACATTAGTCATTAATAATTGTAGTACCTAAAAAAAACAAAATATATATCTACTAAAATTATTGTAAAATATACAAAAAAATTATTCAAAATTCTGATAAAAAATATCTAATGTTATTAACAATATGCACAAAAACAAAACGTAAAATATGATAAAATAAATGTATTATAGTTGTATTGAAACTTTATTAAGATAATTATTCAAATGATTTTTTTTACAATTATTCGAATAATTTTTATTTTATTTTTTATTTACATCTTTGTTATTATTATTTAATAATTTAATACTATTTATTATTGTTGTACCTAATTATTATGAAATATGATTATTAATTATTAAATATTATTCATATTATAATATTGCTAAATTATTATTATTAAAATATGATTAAAAAATACTCATCTAATTTTTCTTCTATTGATATATTATATTTGTTTTTTTTACAATCGTGTAACTTAAAATACAATGTCAGTTATTGCTTTTAATATATGTTTTTTTTAAATTATCAACCATAAGTTTATTCAAATAAATTAACCGAAAATTATTCTTCGAAAAGTTTTCTTTGAAATTTAGTCGAATATTCATAGTTGAAAATTTCTAATAATAATGTATTAATATTAATTGAATAATTGTAAAAAAATCATTCGAATAAAATATTATCTAAATTATCATCTGTAGATAAAATGTCATTCGAATAAGTTTCTACTCTATTGAAGGCATGGAGGATAACTTTATTATAGTTGGAATTTTGACAACTTATTCAAATGGAAAATAAGTTTTTAAAAAAACTGTCAAACTTCAATCGTGTAGAACTACTTTACTTAGGTATGAATATAATGGATGATAGATATTATAAAACATAGATACTAAAATAGTATTTCGGTATGTAAGTCAGATATTATAATGATTAAATGCGTATTGCATCATTGTCGTCAAATTAATATTTGACTGTGACGATGACAATAAATACTTACGTTAAATAATATCGAGAAGTATTCTTGTCGTAGCGATCTACCACACATATTTTGTCGTCTACTGCGCATATACCTACGGAGTATATGGACATTTCTGACGATTCGACGACGACGATGATGATATTGAGCTTTATCTCAGACGTTGCTACTTTAATATAAATACTATAATACTATAATAAAATTTCATTCTAGTAATAATTGTGACTTTGGTTATAAATAATAAACGAGATAATCAGTTACAGTTTATTTCATGCTTTGTAACACGTTTGAATGTTTTTTTTTATAAGAGACGATTATATCCAATGTAAATAATAAAAATTACAGTATATTTTAAACTTAAATACATATTGTTTGAAAACTATTTTTCTATAGGTACGTACCTAATGTAATACATATTTTTTTTAAATTGGGATTATATTGTGACGTGTATTATTAAATACACTATAATTTTTCTTGTTTATGTACCTATTTATTAATGTTTTAATTGAATACATATCATAATATGTGGTAGATCACCGCGTATGACAAGTAGAAACATATTGTGTAGTAAACGTAGAATGCATAAGACAAGAATAAGTAGGTACCTATTAAGATTTATAGATATTATTTAAAATACAAAAATAAATAGATAAGTAAAATCAATTATTATTAGAAAATGTTAAATAAGTAAACTCTACTTATGAAAATCAATAAAATATGTATTTTTTTTACTAAAATTAACGAAATATAAATTTTAAAATTTTGATTTCTGCAGATTCGAATGGAATGATGTATCTATTGATTTTAAATAATGTGTTTTATAATTTAATTTGTGCTTATAATCACCTTTTGAGGCGATAAAAATGCATCGATATTGAAATTTGGAAGTGTTTTTAATAGTAAATTGGATCTATTTAATACTTTGGGGGGTTAAAAATGTCCGGTCTTTTACATAATTATTGAGGAAAAAAATAAGGAAAAACAGAAATTTTCAAGCTTAACTAGTTTTTGACAAATTTATTTCTTAATATGTTAAAATTAAAAAAGCAAATAGCCATAGACATTTAAAATTATCACCAGATGTTTAAATTATTATTTTCTATACGTGGTATTATTTTCAAAATGTATTGACATTTTTTGAATTATTTATAAACAATTATATTATTTTTTTAATGTTTTAAATTTTTTTTCTTAATTTCAATTAATTTTTTTACACGGTGGTTTATGATTATTACTTATTATCTATTAGTTATTTTTAGAAATTTAAAATTAAATTTTTTTTTTATTTCTAAAGCCGTCATTAAAAATTGTTTGTTCTGTTAAATAATCTTGACAATTGAATACAAGATCGTCAAGATCCCATACAACCTGTTCTTTAAAATATTTAAAATATGAGTTCAAAAGGAATAATTCAATTTTAAAAGCACTAAAATTTCAAATTAGTTTGCAGTAGACATTTTATAAAATGTGCTGCAGTTATAAAATATTATATAAATATAATTTTTTTTTATTTAGATATTTTTAGTTTAAGTTTGAACGAAATTACATAATTCAACTATAAATAATGATACTTATTATTTTCTTTTATTTCAAAAACGTTACTCATAAGAACATAAAACTTTTACGAATATTATTAAATTGTATACACACAATGATATTTCAAATGTTATGTTCTTGATCAAAATTAATTCAACCTAATGTATTATCATTGATTATAAAAAGGTACTACATAGTATAAGTTTATACTATATTAATTATTTTTTATACTAATGTTTATAAATCAATGATATTATTACTAATGATAAAATAAATTGATAAAGCAATACCTATTAAAAAATAAAATATAAAATAAATTTATTTTCAAACCTATGATCAGTCATTAGAACGTTAACCGATACTGCATAACTACCTACGCAAACTCAATGCAATCATTTTAATATATATTATTTAGATTTAACCACAGTTTATTTATTAGCAGTATCAATAAATATATAATGATCAAGTATACTTGATATGAATTTTATATACTATAAAAAAAATGTCAGCATTTTGATATTCTTATGAGGTCAACAAACACAATGTTTATAAATTATTATTTGTTGTCTGTTGATATTTGTTGACTTGTTGTTCCCCTCTAGAAGAAACGGTTAATGATTAATGGTTTTTGAGTTGGAAATAGAAACAGCTAAATTAATATTCGTTAATTATATGCCTATATTTTATGCAATAAAAATAAAATAATTTTCATTTAAAAATATTATTATTGGATCATATAGATAGTTATATTAAGTCAAGTGGGTAATTAAAAAAATAAAATATATATCCCAAATATTAAGTATAATTTATTTTTAAAAGCATCAAAAGTTTAAATAAGGACAAAATTCATTAAATTGTTTTACAGTTGAAAATGTATTAAAAAATATTCAATTTGTATAGCCAAGACCTAATGGCTCATAGTAATATAAAGTTTCTTACAAGTAAGTCTTAGTCTAGTGCACTGTGCAGTGGTCTTCAACCAGCGGGTTGCGACCCATTTTTGAGTCTTTAAATTTAAAGCTAATAAAAAGCTTTGAAATTGGGTCGCGATAATATCTTCTTTTTAAAATACGAAATAGACTTGAAGCTGAAGATGATTTACGAATTACGCTTAGTCAAATTGAGCCAAGGTGGAATTTATCATGTTTTATATGAAAACACTCGAGGACAAACATCACAAAAACCTTTGTATGGTTTTTTATTTTATTATATTTTTTTGTATGAATTTTATACGTTTTCAATTCATAATTATTAAATATTTTATCTACTAAAATGTAATTTTTAGTACCTACTATTCAGTTATAAATTATAATAGTACTACCTACTACAAAACATTAAGCGATTGTAGCTTTATTTTGTTTTTCTACAAAGCTTATGTGGGTCACGAAAAATTTAGACCAAAAAAACTTAGTTGTAAGTCCAAAAAGTTGATGACTACGGGTCAAGAGTTCTCAAATTTAATTCACATGTAGGTACTTAAAACATAATATTTATTAAATATATTACATTTTAATATTATATTTAAAATAAATATATATATTAACAATTGTCGTAAAAAACTAAAAACTAAAAATATCTGTAGGTACCTACTTTTATAAAAATGAATGCTTCATAAGCAGTATCTATCATAATCTGAAGAAAAAAACTATTCGTACTCGTAAGCACAGTTTTAATTTTGATACGTCAAAATGTACAGAAAAATTATCTAATAAATAATTTGCAGTAGTCTGGTGTGGCACGGTAGTTGGGCTCAGTTAAGCATCAGTCGGCGTCGCTAGTTCTCGGATGGGTGACCACCCGGGTCCTTAGTGACGAATCCATGGCATGCAAACATACACACGCGTGTTCCAACCCTGCAAAACAATATTTACAAACAAACCCCATACAAAAAACACCTGCTATTCCTATCCCAGCTAATGGCCTTAGTTGCCGAGTTTAAAATCAGATCAATAAAAAAAATAATAAAAACAATTTGCAGTGCTTATAAAAAGCGATTCTCGTATGAAAAACAGGAGTTTGTTTCTACGCAGGAAATTTTACCAATTCATTCGAAAAATTTCAAAAATTTGAACATAACACCGGTGTTAGAGTATACTATTTGATAAATCCAAACATATTTTGAATAGCCGTATTAACGAAGAAAAAAAGGGGTAAGAACTGCAGAAAGCGCCGAGTGAATCACACTCTGTTAGGTTATCCAACACATGAAATACTTAACACGTTGGTAGCAAAATTTCGGATATGTGTCGTCCACATGTTGGTATATTCAATAAGTTTTTTTTACATTTTCATCTCGAACCTCGCGACTATGCAGCATAAAAGTAACCGTTAATATTATAATCGCATAAAAGGTCGCTGTACAACATGGCCTTTTAGGTATAACAGCACAACACAGGTATTATCTACCATTATAATAATAAATTGAATTATTATTTTATTGATTATTTAGAATATTAATTGCCATCTAGTGGTAAAAACGAATTTTGAAAAAATCAATAATTATGCCCCGCGTGAATATTCGTCCGTGTCCAACAAGTAACGAACCTTTTTCGTCCATGAAACGAATAATGTTAATATAATTCCGTCAAATTTCAGTACAAAACAAAAAAATTGCATTAGTTTGTTTAATAGTTATTTTTTGTTTGAATTTTGAACGCGCACAGAAAAATTTTATCCGTTCAAGACGAACATTATTCTTTTTGCCAATCACGTGACCAAGTGCTGTATGCACTGTCATGGTTCGTATTATCGATCCATTATCTAATATATATTCAATACTCTTCGATTCTTCATTATCTCGCTGCTCGTGCACGCTTAGTCTGAGCTCCGATCTGGCGGCCATTGGTGTTGGAATAATTTTTACCACTGATTGTCAAATATTCAAAGGTAAGTTATAAACGCAGCCCGTCCCCTAAACAGAAATTCGCATCGCAACCGCCTTCTAACCTCCTGTAAGCAATGGCCGATACCGCGAATGCGCAGTTTGGCGTTGACAAACTATTTTCTCCCTCGTTGCCCCGCTGCAGCGCACCACCATTAGGACGTTTACTTGACGCGGACGTTAACTTGTGCCTGGAGAAGTTGCGTTAATAATTTTTATTGTGAAAATAATATAAATTTTATTTTTCATTCCATTTCCTTTAGAATTCCGCTAAAGATCCCAATCAAGATGGCTACTCGATTTTCTGAAGTCGACAGAACAATGCATGATTTTTTTTTATCCGGATATGATGTGATCAACATGTTCAAGCTACATGTGAAAACGCCTAAACAAATGGGAATCACGGTTGTCGGTATTCATAACATAAGGTCGAACAAAATTGACACTTATTTTGAAAACAGTAACGTGATCAAAAAATCTAATTACTGTAAGTTATTCGCCTATTAAAAGTCATGTTTTTTTTTTATACTTTCTCTTATCTTATTAGTGGAACAATTTAAATTGGTTTCGTTAACTCAGTTTAAAAATTTCTATCAATCTATTTATTTCAGAAATTATTTACGCATTGATACTACCTAATTATTTTTCCACACTTAAACGTATACAAATTATGTTTAATTTTTAATACATTTTTATTTTTATTTTTTAAGTAATTAAATTGACTGAGAAATGGAATTCAAAACGTTCTATAAATACTGAAGCTTCTATAATCGGCTTAATACCAGGTTTGACACTTTCAGCTGATGTTATAATGGAGTGCAACAAACGGTAAGCTAAAATAATAAAATTCAATCAAATTTAACATAATATTACATAATTTTAATTGTTCAAAGTTCTAAGATTCTAAAGTTGACGTCTGAATATCATAATGAGTATGTCGCACTCAACTTGGACACTAAATTCAAAGGATCGAAACCGATTATTAATGCCTCTGCTGTAGCTGCTTACAATGGTATATAAATTTTAACTATTTAACTAGAATATTAAATACTTCTGGGCGACCCAAGTCAGTTCAGCGCACGTCTACAGCACGTGTGCGTAAAACTACACTATTTTTACTTGGTTTGTTATAAATATCTACTTTCATAAAATAATTCCAATTGTTTGATTTTGTTAAAATTAATATAATTATAATCAGTTATTTTTTAATAATATCATATATAAAAAAAGATCTTAGGTTGCGGGCTGGTATTTTTTCTATCAATATTTAATAAATACATTTTTGTGTTTAAATATTATTTTTTTCTTTTATAGATCATACATAATATAAACATCAATTTAATAAAATTAATTAATTATAGTATATTTATTAATAGTCTATTAAAGAATTTTAGAGGTTTTTATTTTTTTAAAGAGATCAAAGTTTTATAGTCTACACCATAGTTCATACTAAATATAATTGTCTTTATTTACATTTAATGTTAATGTTGAATTTGACAGTGAATACACCAAGCGGTGTTACGTAAATTATATGATTTAAGCCACCGTCAATCCAAGTGATTAATAAAAAAACAAATATAAGACCTCACTTGGATCGCAGTTGAGTATGTAATAATCAACATTTTATTTATTTTTCCTTTAGGGTTGACGGGAGGTGTTAAAGTTGAATATAGTACAAGCAAAAAAGCACTTAACTTAAGCAAATTTATTATGAGCTATATGATTAAAAATGCTGTGTTTACCGCCAATGTGTAAGTAAAATAACCATAGACTTAATTGATTTTATTATCGACTGTTATGTTTTACAGAACTAATATGGAATTAATTAGTGGCTCAATGTTCACTACATATGTTGATCGAATAAATTTGGGTTTGAAATGTTGTTGGTCAATTAAACATCATACTGGTTCTGCTGTTGTTGGTTCCCAATACCAAGTGAACAAAGCTCTCAAATTGCGAGCCAAGTTCAACAACAAGGGTCAATTGTACATAGGTTCTAGCATAAAAATCAACAAAAGTATGTTCCCATAATTTTTCATTACACAAATAATAAAATTATAAGTAACATAAATTTTATTTTAGGTGCTAAATTGACACTTGTTAACTTGATAGAATGTTTTCGCTTCAACTCCAGTCCTATCCTAATTGGTATTGGAGTGGAATTTAACTTGTAAGCAATATACAGCCAGACTTTATTATTTTTTATGTTACACGTAAAATATAACTATATACTCACTAATTATAATATATTTATAAATTTATCACTCAAATGTATAATAACATACACCTATGGTTACATTTGTATTAATATTTTAAACTTGCATTATCATTCTCTCTTTAGTGAACATTGTGTGCTTTTGCTTTTAAAATGTCTTCATAAATTATTAGGTTCCACTGATTTTTTTGAAATATCATTTTTATATTAATTATTCAAATACTAAAGATTTTAAGTTGTTTTATCTTGTTTTTTTTTTTTTTTTTTTTGTTATAAACATTTTATTTAATATCTAATTCTCTATTGTTATTTGTTTTTATTTCATATTAATGCATACATTTATTAAGTTTTTCTCATTATTTTTATTTTATTTTTTCTGTATTATAAATTATATTCAATTAATGTTTTTCTTTTATTATACTCAATTTTTTATTAATTATTGGCTTATTAATTATTATACTCAATTTATTATTATATGCAAACAGCAATATTATTGGCTTATTAGTTATTTTACTACATTTTTTATTAAATATGAATAGCAATATTATTGACTTATTTTAAACTATGTTTGTATTTTAAATACACAATATTTATAATTATGTCATAGGACTCGTCCTTTATGTCCTTAAAATAAAAAAAATGTTAAAAATATAATTTTTTTTTATTTATAATTTATCACCCAAATTGAAATTTACTATTATTTTTTTTTATATATATAATTTTATTAACATTTGCATTTTATTCAGTATTTGACTTGTGGTTCCACAATTAGTTCAATATTTTATAAATCGACGTTAGTGTCAAAAAAAATATCACTGTAGTATAATTAGTTTTAAAGTTATTGTAGTTAGTCTATTATTTCATTACAATCATTGGTTCATATTAAAATAAATCACAAGGTTAAAAAATATGCATACCTATGCAAATCTAAAGATAATTGACAAAAAAAACAACCATAAAATTCAAATCAATTATAAAATAACAACACGATAAATGTATAGAAATAATAAAAAAAAAAATATACAAGTAATATCTTTAAGAAAAAGTTCAATTATAAAGTATTTACTTATAATAAACAGAACAAATAAGTTTAAGATGCAAAAAAAAGTAATTTATTAGCTATTCATGATGAGTACTTATAAATGTGTAAGCATGTTAATTTGTCAATAAACCAGCAATTTAAAAATTGTTTGAATTGACAGTTTTATAATGAAATAAAAAATATTTATTTTTCTTATTTTAAATTTTGAAAATATAAACATAAAGAATAATTGATGTTCAATATGTTTTGTATTTAAAATATAATCGTGTACAGACATTTGTGTCTTTTTATTTTTTTTGTGTGTGAGTTTGATATTTGATTATTAACACCAGTGGTTCCCGACCTTTTTAGTTGTGCGGACCACCAATTTTGTAAAAAAATCTTTAAGGCCCTAATAACACATTCATAAACGTATGCATATTTTTATATATATATGCTAGTTATTATAAATAGAAGAATTTTAAAAATAATTGTTTATTTAAAAAAAAAAAACTATCCAACTTAATCGCAAGTTAAACAGTTTAATGTGATTTTCAACATTGCTTGTCTACCATGAGATGGTTAGAAATATCTGGATTAAAACTGGATAGTCTTAGCCTTAAATCATTCTCGACATTCAGTTTATTTCTATATATTATATTAAAAAAAAAAATTAAAGCAGATAAAGCTTGTTCATACAGATAGGTTTTCGAAAAGCCCATCAAGTTTCTTAGTGCGATTTTAGCATAACTCACACACGTTTCACATTGCGCATGATAAAATACGATAAAAATAATAATAATAATAATAGGCATCTATTAATAATAAACGAATCACTATTTATTGTCTCATTATTTATTGAAGTTCAAACATTATTAATAATTTTATATCACATCTAAAACAAATTAGGTAATCAATCTTCAACTTAAAGTGTCAATGGAAAATTATTTTCATTTGTTTAATGACAATCTTTCCAAAGAGAAAAATTATTTTTATTTAATATTATTAACTAAAATATTATAGTATTAACTAAACTCACAGTATGTTTTGTTAATTAATATTTTCAACTACATTTTTCAACTCTCTTGTTTTTAATATTTTAAAAATAATTTATTACTTAACAAGACTAAAGGTTTATTTTATATTTATATTTTTTAACTACATTTATATAATTTTGTTACTACTTTGATTTTGATTTCATATAAAAATAAAAAAATTACAATCCAAAAGTCTGGATAATTGGGTATGTTTGCTTTATATTTTATGATTATTGTAATTAAACATAATGTTTGTTACTACAATAAAAAAAAAAAAAAAACATAATAATTTAACCCAGCTTGTTTGCATTAATTCATAATATGAATTAATATTATGTACTTACCTATCATAATATTCACATAATTATTAATTAATTGTATTATAATTATAACGAGTAAAATATAATATTCAAGTATTTGGTATTGCAACACACCTATCCATTTATTAAAACCAGGTGGCTGTCAACATTTATATCTAATTATTCTAATTCTAACCAACTAAGGAGTAGTTGGTTAGCTATTCCCACTACACGAACTGGTCTTGAGGACCGGGTTGTTGAATTTATACAAATTAAGTTTTCTAAGTTATATTTTACAGGTCTTAAAAACTTATGACTTGCGCTCATAAACTAACACAATAGAATCGATATTATAGCAACGTATAACAAGGTTTATTCATATTACTAAATATCAATATAATTATAAAGTACACTATTACCTAAGTAACCCTGTTCTTGAGGGTATTATTTTGAAGATCGCAGGTATAGTAGAGTATGAGTTGAAGCAATTGAATAAATTATGATTATCTATAAGGTAGGTTAACCTAACCTATAGTATATCAAATTAAAATTGTTACTTCACAATATAAAGACAACTGTTTTTTCTATTTCACAAACCAAACTCGACTGATTAGCTATATCATGATTTGTACTCATAATCTACGTTCCTGTGTTTTCCTGACCTAAGCAAAAATCACAAAGTGCAGCATAAATGATGTGTCAGTAACATGTATATTGTTACAGTATCTTCCTTAAAATTTTATATTATTAATAATATTTATTATTTAATACTATTTAAAATTAATGATTTTTAATAATAACAATTATTTACTATAATTTAATAATTTATTGTTTTTAAACATAATTTCTAAGTTAAAATAAAACAAAGAAGAAAGTATTCTAGCTCCAAAAAATTGTGGTTTTTCGTAAGAAATTGTTCTTACTACTAGTCAAGTTATACATTAAAATTATTTAAAAAGAACATTGACAATACCATAAATAATATACACGTACATATTTTAGGATTTAATTGATGTTTTTAAATTAATGAAACATTTTTTGTTTCTCCTGAAAAGTTGTCATTTTGGTGTTAAGACAATTGCGACATAGACTGACAATAAAATATTTATTTTATTTTTAATTATTAATTAATATCTTATATTGTTTTGCATTCTACACATTTTATTACATTTGATATCTTATGTTATAAACGATTATCATATATACATTAATATGACCTTTTATTAATTTTGCCTCTTCTATATTTATATATTAATAAATATATAGGGCGGCTCACAAGTCTCTTATCGTAAGCTACCCCTGCTATATAGTATGTGCAATATTCCAAAACTGTCATAAACTTATCTATTTAAACTATTATTATAATAAGAATTAAGATAAATAATAATAATTATTATAAATTATTGATTGATGATTGTTATTTGTTAGAATAAAGTACTTACTTTTAAATGTTTTAACAAATTTGAACATTTCCTTTTGTCTGCTGTTAATAATTTAGTTGATATACAATATTTACAACGCACTAATATCCTTGATATGATTCCAAAATCTTCTTTTAATTATATTTTACACTACTTAAAATTGTATTTGCTGTAATATTGTGAACTCGCAAATTAACGACTTGGACGTATTTTTACAGTAGACAAGACATATAAAATCTAAATCTAATTAAAATTTAAAATTTTAAGCTTTATTATACAACTTTATACATATTACATAGCATTCTTGTTATCGTTAATGGCATCGTAATTCGTCAATCGACAATCATCAATCACTAATCAGTAACTCTAAACAATAAACATAAGAACCACAAGGGCACAGACTATAATATAATATATTATAAGAAAATATAATATAATTTTTCATATATCTGTGTGTGAACTAATCAATGCCTTAAATCGGTCATGATTTTATTATTGTGTGATATTTATAGATGTTATTGAATTACCCAAGACAAAATACGTTTTGTATTTTTATTTTTTTCAAATTATATCTATTACCTATAATGGACTAGTCAAAATACTCAAAATTCATTGTTGTACTATTAAAGTATTAATCTGAATATTATAGTGTTTGGAAATTTTGAAATACTTTCAAATGTATTCCAAATACAAGTAATACATCATAAAATATTTTCGGGTAGGTAACAATATTTTTAAAGTTTTCGGAATACTACCCAAGATTAACTATGGTGCTATAGCCTATAGAATACGAATAATAAATGAGTGACAATTAAAAACCATAGTGTTAATAACATTAATCGTATTTTATTTTGTACTGTATTCATTTTATTATACGAATCAATTTAATCGTGTTAATCTAAAATGTATACTCATGTACGTTATATAAACTTTCCATGATATTAAATAATATACCTAGTCATTTATACCTATGCAAACGTATCGGCATAAATTAGTTATGAAAAACATATATATCACACGATAGATATTACCACGATAGTCGGAACTCGCGATAATGTCAAAACGACTATCGTTGACTTTTGTGGCAAATCTTTTAGATATTATATAACTTTATTACCTAGTGTTCAATTGTTCTCTGTTCAGTCATCACTTGAATTTTGTGTAACTAGTTGCCGTTGTCGTCTACTTAGTCTTGTATAGTCGTGAGTCGTGACTAGGTGATACGTGTAATGTATTGTTTTAAGGTATAAATTCGAAAATATATCAAAAATATACAGTCCATTCTATAATCGAATTTTTTTGTTTAATTCTATAATTATTGTTACTATTTCATTCTATTATTCATTCTATTACGTTTTTAGTTCATTCCTCCGGTTGAATGTAATCACCGTGCGATTACTCTCGATCATTTTTGTATGCAAAGCATACAGTAGTAAGTGCCTACATAAAAAAAGTAGATAATCTTAGTCTTGATCATAGAAAGTTTAGTTTTGTCATGTATTTTTTTAATAAGTCGCTATTTGTTTATTAATGAAAATAAAAATATAAGTACCAATCTATTGATTAGTCGGCTAGTAAAAAGTATCTTAATGGTTTGCGTTAGCATAGAATTGTGTAACATTTAGTGCTGTTTTAAACATCCACTTTTTAAAAAATAAAGTATATTAACATGCCAAGGTTTAAAGTGTTGCAAGAATCAGTCGAAGCAAGAGGTTGTCAAAATATTGGACGAATAATGAGGTAAGAGCTTTCTAATAGTTATACCTATTGCTGTAAATTAAATATTTAATGCAAGAATATCCAATATTTTGAATTTTTAAAAATAATTAACACCTGTAGAGTTCTATATTAAATGAATTATATGTGAAAAATAAAACTGAGTAAATTCTAATGGTACAACTGTTGTTTCCAAGCAGTTAGTTATTTATCCAAGTGCTAACAGTAATTAAATTTAATAATAAGACAAAAACTGGTGCACGATGTGGTATTGTTGTTGGTTAGTTTATTTTGGTATTTATATAAGTACATACATATCACTTTATAATTGAATGTAATTATTAAGAGAACAATACACTGACTTATTAACATATAATGTAATTATATTGTTTTCAGCAGTTTCAATTTTATATAGGTAATCTTTAATAATAGAGTGAATTAACCTATTATAAAATATAAAGGTAAACCAATTATTTGTGTTTTTATATTTTAATTTATGAGCAAATCTTCAAAATTATTTGTGTAAACACAGATAATATCCTTACCTTTAAGATAGCAGTTCATTTTTAAGCATTGATTATAATTTATAAATCAGTTGAGTCTTCTTAAATTAAATATAAAAAAAATTATTCTAGAGTTGGTCAAAGTTCTATAAAAAGTATTTGACTTTGCAAAAAAAATTGTATGTGTCTAATTTTTTCTCTTTGAAATATTATCAGTGCTTTAATTAAGGAAGGGATCCAAGAATACAGAGTCTCTCTTAACCTTCTAGTTTTATCTTAATCAATAAGATATTTTAATATCTAAGTACACACATTTATTTTTATAATTTTGTGTTTCCCTTTCCAATGTTGTTCCAGTTTAAGCACTGTACATAATATTGTTCCAATTTAAGTCTACATCACAAGTAACTAGAATTATAGTTAGATGTTTGATTACGATTTTTATGAACTATTAAATTTGCTTACTATGTTACAAAAGTCACATGTTATACTATACCAGGGGTGGTGAACCTACGACACGCGTGCCAGAGGTGGCACGTTGATTAAATTTCAATTTAAAAATTATGCTATTTATAAAATGTTGGCTATAAGAAATTCAAAGAAACAAATTATACTTAAAAATTATAATATTCCTTTGTAAAATGTATTATATTACTATATTATTACTATATTTATTGTGTAATTTTATTTTTATCCTTAGAAAATATAATTTACTTTGGGCACATGAAAAATTTTCAAAACCTTGATTTGAAAAATTTGACACTTGACCCAAAAAAGGTTTGCCACTTCTGCACTATACGATATGTTATTACTGCAATCAATTTTTGTACACGAGACACTAAGCATTTTTTTACTTTACTTATGTAAGAAAAAATACTATCTAAATATTTATGGTACTAAATCAATTAGCAACAATAAGTACATCATAAAATACTGTATTAAAATCTTTACAATTAGATACTTAATTTAAATTAGTTAAATAGTTATATAATCATAGTAATGAATAAAATTTAATCAAAATAATGAAATAAAATATTTTTAATACAAATACAAGTATCATATTAATATTTTATTTAAATTATAATCAAGTAAAACTATAGATATTAATAACTTATTATCAAATAAATTCAATATAAGTATTAAATTTTATAGTTAGAAAATGTATAATTGGCATTAAATTATGAAGACAAATTCATGGATTATACTTATTTTTAAAATTATTTAACAATACTTAACTTATCAAATATTGACAATAACTTTGTTTTAATAATTAATTTACATGACATATTAAAATTTTTTATTTACATTTTTTGCTTTTTGTAAAGCAAATGGTGTACATCTGTTGTAGAATTTACTGCTCTTAAAATAAAATAAGAAACATACCCTAATTTAAATATTTCAATTTCACAACTCATAGGCAATGTCTTTGCTTTCATGTTGCCCTTCATTTTCCACATCGAGATATCTGGTAATGAATCTATCTCTTGTAGAGGTGGTAAAGAATAGCAGTAGCAGCTGTAATAGCAGTGCTATTTTAGCAGTAGCAGACTGTTAATCCAAAACAAAAATAACAGTGACTGCTATTATTTTATATCACTTTACCTACACTGCTAAAAACATGATAAAATAATATGAAATAAATGTGATATTTATGAAAGACCTGCTATTGCTATCATAACACAAAAATAAAATCACAATTCTTTTAAAGTGAAAACATGATTAAAAAAGTATTTTATTTTACTATTTTCTTACATTTGTACATTTGTGAGTGAAAAAAATGAAAATGACAATAAGTTTAAAGACTAACAACAAACTAAATAATCATTATAACAGTTTTATGCATTATAATTTAAGAAAAGTAGCATTTCCAACTTTTTGCTACTTAAACTACTGCGTCGATCACTTATGAGTGTTCCTGCTTTGGAGAAAACTCTTTCGCAAGGTACCGATGTTCCAAGAGCACATAACATCTTTCTGGCCAGTTAACTGAGGTAAGGATAATTATGTTTGTTTTCAAACCACCATTTAAGAGGATCACTGTTCCTATTTTGGATTGCCTCTTCTAAATACCGTTGAACTTCTACTAATGCCCTTGATGTATTTGTTCCGATAGGTTGTACTTGTGCTACTTTAGAATCTATTGAGTCCCAAATAGATATTCTATTACTATCATCTTCATGTTCTTGTTGTGGTATGGACTCAATTTCTTCTCTAACAGCATTATTGGGGACTCTGCTAGCAGAAATTATAGCAGCAGTAAGTTTAACTATGTCATTTTTTTGTGGACTGTTTCAATGATGTTGAAAGAGAAACATCTTTAAACCTCGGGTCTAAAAAGATACACCGAATTAATGTTTTACTTAGTTCTATTGTCCCTCATCTGTCCTTATGACTCATACCACTAATTAATTTTTGTAAAATATTTTGAACAGGTGATGAAAACTGTTTTTGAGTCATCAACTCACAAACATTCTTGAGTCCTTGTGCTATAATTTGAATTATGGATGCAGTCATGTATTTGTTACCACTAACTGCTTTTGTCGCTTCCTCAAAAGGACGTAACACTTGGATTAGTTGTTTAATGATGGTCCATTGTTCTGATGTCAGTCCTTGAGGTGGGTTGTCTAATAGGCCAAGAGTTCCCCTTATGGAATCTTCTAATTCTACAAAACGATCCAGCATATAGTAAGTAGAGTTCCATCGAGTACATACGTCTTGTATAAGTTTTTTAGGTATTTTGGAACCATTATTACTTTGATACTCATTTAGTTTATGAGATGCTCTGCTACTTTTTTTGAAATGTGTGATAATAGATTTTATTTTTTCAATCAAGTCAATTTCTAGTTTTAGAGCATCTTGAACAATTAAGTTTAGTGTATGAGCGAAACATCCAAACGATTTTATTTATAATAAACTTAATGCGTTTTTTATATTGCTGGCATTATTCGACACAGCTAAGACAATTGTGCTATTTAATATTTCCCATTCATCTAAAGTTTTTTGTATTGTTTTGCATAAGTTAAGACCAGAATGATTCTCAGAAAACTCATAGCAGCCTAACAATACTGATTTTAGTTCAAAATTAGTGTTAATGAAATGGTATGTTAGGGATATATATGCTATATTGCTTCTAGAAGTCCAGCAATCAGTTGTAAGACAGCCACTTATAGCTTCGTTTCTTAGGAGTTCTTTTGTGTCATTCACACATTTCTGATATTTGGCTGGAATAAGAACTTTAGAAATTGTGTGGCGATCAGGCATTTTATATGATGGATTAAGAAGCTGAACAAAATCTTTAGTCTTTGTCTTCTACCACTTTAAGGGTTGAAAATCTTTAGTAAACAAATTCATAAGCCCATCATCAATTTTTTTTTTTTTTAACATCAAGTCATTTTTTTTGGAACATAGGAAGTAATAGTTGCTTGTTTTCGTTTATTTTGTATTGGAGGTACTACTGTATTAGAACTAGTACTAGAAGGCTGTAGATGTAGATGTAAAAGAGAACCTAAATTACTTTGGATTGTTTCATTTAATGGTGCAGATAATTTAGATGTTGATGGTAGATTATTGACTGTATCTGGATTGTAGGGGCCAGACCACCCATCGGGCGAAACACGTGCACATATTCAGCCGGCTCGGGGCTTGATATGAGAGAGGCACCGGCAGAAACGGCAATCTGTCGATAAAGAGCAAAACCGTACGCACGAAAAGGGGGTCGTCGCGGTACATACAGCGGTGCCCCGATCGACCTGCTTGCGGACAAGGCAGTTGCGAGGGCCTGAACGCCGGGTTCGAACCTCGTACCACGGGACTCGGAGTAAGCCCCGTCGAGTCGGCTTGCTAATAGCGCCTCGACGCTCCGGGGTGCCGGATCCGAGGCGCACGACTGCATGGACTTACCAAGGACACGCGCTCGCCCGCACCGGGAAAGGCACACTTGAGGAAGGACTCGTGGTGGTTGTGGGAGTACCGCCTTAGTAGAAGGGGTTTGACTCGGGCGATAATCCGTCGGGCCCTGGCCGCGGCGGTCACTCATTATGGCGCCCGAGGTGAGGCGGCGCCCCGGAGTCATCCGGGGCTACTGCCCGGAAGAGATAACCTCGCGGTTATACAAAAGGGCGAGTGTCTCCGGGGCAACCCGGAAAAACTGGTCGACCCCGAAACACTAGGAAAGATGTATCTGGATTGTCAACAAGTTCTTCATTTTCAACTGTCTGTATAAATTTGAGTTATTTATATTATGAATATAAGTTTAAGTTTTTATAATTATTAGATATATACATATAATTGTACTTAATTTAATGTTGTGTTTTTTTACCATAACTTGAGTAATATAATTGTTTTTATATACTATTTTAATATGTTTTTGACTTTAAATTTAAGCTAACTTGAATAAACCTTTAAGCTAAATTTAAGTGTGTTTTTAATTTATTTTATTTTTATTTTCAGGCTAGTAGTGAATTAAGCCTATAATACCAAAACGTTTATGATTCATTATTCTGTTAAAAACAGTTTCAACTAGTAATGTATTTTATAAACATGAATACAAAATATTATTAATCCTTTTAAATATATAGTTAATACAAAATACTTCATCTAAATAAAAACTATTATTAGTATTTTAGTTGAAGATTTCAATTGTACTACTGAATATTGATTTAACTTAAAAACATGTTGTAGTTTTAATGGTTTTATAAATATTATTTTACTTTACAAGAGGAAATGAATGAATGTTTAAAATGTTTCACATTAGATAATAATTTTTATTTAATTTTAGATTAAAAAAAATTAATTTTTAGCCTTAAGGATTTTAGAAAAATTCTAATCCAACAAATATAATTTATTGATTGAATTCATTATAATTAAGATACGTCTACTTTTGATTACAAAATAAGTATACAATTTTAGTCAAATATTTTACTTTTATCTACTTAGTTGGTATGCAATTTAAAACAACTTGGAGAACTGTATTAATTTTTTTCTTCCCCATATATATTTAAATCAAAAATATTTACTTGATCTGCAGTAATTTGAATCCAATGGGCCTTTGCAAGATGCGTTTTTAAATTTGTAACACTAGTCTTAAATGAGTATTTTCGCTTATAAATATCACATTTAGCAAAACTAGTGTTATCGATCACAGTAAAATGTGACCAAACATAACTTGATTTTCTATTTAAATTCATTATTATAGATAAAAAATATAATAAAAGTATAAAACACAACTGACCGAGTTAAGTTGGAAGAACTCAACAACTAAACAAGGAATGAGGTTTGGATTTGGTTTTCGTTTCTTATAAAGTTAACCATTAAACTGTCTTAACTGACTTAGGGGTAATAGGTAAAGTGTATTAGTTTGTTTTCCAAGTATCAAAATGTAATACTCTTTTAATGGAAAAGGTTTAAACCCCGGAACCTCTTAAACATGTGACAATGACAATGACTGATCTACTATATATTATTAGTGCTATATTTTAGTTCTAGTAATCTAGTGCATTAATTATTACTCTTTACAGAGAAATAATTTATCACAGTTAACTAAGAATTCATATTATGAAATAAAACTATAACCCAATAAAATGATTACTAGAATGAATTAGCATCTAATTATTAAAATAGCATTTAGAACTAGGTTGATATCTATTATCTAAAAAAATAGCAGAAGCTGCTATTTTTCACTGCTATTTTCAAATAGCATTAGCAGTTGCTGTTGCTACTAAATTTAATAGCAGTTTACCACCTCTAAATTCTCTTGGCATACAAACAATTCAAACGTTATGATTACTGCTGTTTGCAAAGACAATTTCAAGTCCCAAGTTAATATCACTTTATTTTCTGTAGTTTTGATTGTCAAATTAGCTATTGGTGGCACTTTTTTTTCGTGATTTTTTGTTATTGTATCGTGGTGTTAATGGATTAGGTAGTGGATAATTTGAAGGCTTGGAGTGAAATTTATGATTATGCATCTCTGCAACTTCAATTATTTTTACTGACCTGCAAAATGGCAAAATTTTTTTTTTTAGTTTTTTATTATTAATAACTTCACAATTGTTTAAACAGATCTTTTTTTTTCAGCTTCCATATTTTCAGAATTAAAAGGATCTTTATCATCATTAAACATTGCCTTCTATTTCGGCTCAAGATTTAGTTTACGTTTAGTTGTAGATAAAAATTTCCTATTACTTAAATTCGGGATGGGTTCAGTATTAATAAGGTAGTATATCGTTTACATTACTAATTATATTGTCATCAGATATAAAAATATCTGTTTTTGATGTATCATTTGAGACACCAGGTTCATCTTCACTCTTTGATGATGTAGATATTTCATGTTCCTCATTAGAATCCTTATGTACAATAATCCTAAAAGTTAAAGTAAATTACTATTTAGAGTAACCATAAAATATTATTATTAAAAATCAGATTTTGCATAAAATGCATGTTGCTATTTTCAACATTTTATACTGCATATTTTAACAAGAAACTGTACAAATATATACTTAAAGATCCAAAAAGGTATTGAGTAAAAAAACAAATTATAGATACATTTATATAATATCAAATATGTTATGTCTCAAAAAATAACCTTTGATAACTTGTTTTTCCAATTAACATGCTACATTAAACCGTACTTTTTTCCTATTTAATGATTAAAAATTAAATTACAATTTAACAAATTATATTTTTGTATTGTATTTATATATTTGCTATATTATACATCTTATACTTTTTGTTTATGAAAATTTAAATAAAAATAATAAATAATTATCACTGTAAAATTAAAATCAAATATAAAATTTAATGAAAATTGAAATTTAATTTTGCATGTTATGCATTTTTTCTTGCATATTTTGACTTTTTTAGTGAATGTTTACATGCATAATTTTTGATTTAAAATGCATATAAAGCCGAACTTTAATTATTAAACTCTTACATATTAAAAATAAGATCTATTCAATAACTTTATTAAAAAATAAAATTATAATTTTAATGAGGCTAAAAATTATTTTAATATAAGTAGCTAAATGGCTAAATGTCTTACTTGTCCAATTTGCTGGTCAAGGAAGTGTTAATAATTTGAATTTTTGAAGTGTCCATAAATTTCATCGACTGTGGAAATATATTATCTTCTTTTATGTCTTTTTCCAAGTATTTTATAACACATTTTAAAGCTTTAACTTGGTTCTGGAATTCCTTAAATGTCATATTTTTATTCTCGTATTCTGCATATTTTAACAACTCTTTTGGTTCAATAATATCATCCTCGCCTGTCTCGTTGTTCAATATATTGGTGATTTTACTTTCTAATATATTATTGTAGGTTGATACTGGAAGTTGAATTACTTCGCCGGCCATTTCAATAGATATTTGAGGTTCTTCTTCTTCTTCTTCTTCTTCTTCTTCTTCTTCTTCTTCTTCTTCTTCATCATTGATTTGTTCCGAAACACAGTAATTCATTTCGTTTTCACTCATGATTGCTCTTATGATTTCTGTACTTGTATTTACTATTTTTTACTACAAATTAGAAATACGATTGTAAATGAAAAGGACAATAACTACTGAGTGTCGACTGATAACTGATAAGTGATAAGTGTCCAAAGCGAAACATATCAACAAAACAACGGCCGCGAGAATGCGCTGTTAGATTTGGTATCATCGCGATCCACAAATGCGAAACGTTAAGTAACGCACTAACGTCCTTAACTTGTAAACCATGTCCGCCCGACGAATATATCCGTGCTGGAGGGATGTTTATTATTTTATGAATGCTATAAAAAAATGGCGTTTAAATGCCACCTGTAATATTTTTAATATATCCTGACATACTTACGCCATTTATATTGATTACGTTATTAAATACTTAATAAAATATTTACAGAATAGTAAATAATACCTAATACCTATATTAGTATAAAGTTTATTAAAATTACCTAAATATCCATTTATTAGTTTTCTATTAGGTAAATTTGTTTATAACGTACCCATCATTCACCAAACGAAAACGTACTTTTAAGACAGTTTTTGTGTATTTTTCATATATGATAATATAGTTACACATCATTACATCAATGCTATCTATTATTATTTTTAAGGTCTTATTTTTTTTTAACCTATTTACGATTTATGAATTACAAAGATGCAATTTATGTGTACCTCCAATGATATATTTTGTAATTAATAGAATCATTTAATAAATAATTTTAGGCTCTATCAAAAAAGCTTTAAAATTGGATATATGTAAGATTCTTTATGAATTTTTAAAAACATAAACAATTCATCAGCACAATTTTTTTTTTTAAGTACCAGAAGTTCAAGTGTTGAAAAATTGTATTTGAAAATGCATAAAATATTCTATTTTTGTAGCTTATAAGGTTTTTACTTTTTAAATTGTATTATAAGCTTCATATTAAGACCAAAAAATCTAAAAAAATATATTAGTAAACAATTTTCGAGATATATTTGAAGTTTAAAATTGGACGAGATTACATATTTTATTGATAAATAACGTTAGTTGTAATTATAATTGAAAAACATTCGTGAGGACTTAAAACTTATACATATACTATAAATTTTATTATAGGTACACTAAGACATTATCAAAATATTTTGATTAATTTTAAGAAGTTATCTATTTATACCATGTTTACTTAATTTATACCTTTTTACACTGTTTTACACTAAGGTGTTATTGTTATTGGCGCAAAGTTAATAACAATAATCCAGTATAATATAAATATATTTATTATACTAATTATATATTAGTAAAACAATAAATTCAATTTTTTCACTATTTTCGACAAAAATTTTAATTAATCTACGATTTAATGACAAATTAAAATTTGTCGCTGGGTCAACATTTTTGAAAATTTAATGCAAAATAATCCCACAAAAGTTGTTCTTTTATTCGTATAAAAATATAAATGAAATAAATTTATATATTTATGTAAATGAAATACATACCATATTACAGGGACCCGCATCCGTCCCTATCATTTTTAACTGGCCTGCGTGCTACTTATCAAATTATTTTATAAAAATATAAAATGTAGGAATTTTTCTGTATTTTATTTTATTATATTTATAATATTTTCATATAATTTGTATTCTGTGATAATATTATATTATTTATAGGAGTATACTTGTATAGTTAACATTATAGCTAATATATTATCAGTTTAGTCGTTTATCCGTCACCTTAAGTCGACTAAAAAAATATGATAAAATTAATTCTGTAGATAACAGTGTGATTACACTCATGTACGATTTCTTGAAGAAGTTTTAAAACTAGTTGTTTAGAACCCCCTTGTTCAATTACTATATTATGGAAAAAAATAATGGATATTCTTATTTAAGAAATAAACAGGTTATAAGAATATGGAAGGTTTCTTGAGACCTTATGGAGATTATAGTATTAGGTATTAGTACTTCTAAGTTCACTTGTTAAAGTTAAATAATAATACTTGTAGTATCAATTATACCTTCATAAGTTATAAGAAATTTAACTAATTAATTAACTTTCTATCTGATTAAATATAGTTACTTTATTTTACTAGATGAATCATTTTCAACACTAAAATCATAATAAAAATTTATTTTTATAAATGATATGCGGTGAATGGAATTTTAATTAATATTTCTACAGCATCAATATTTCTTTGATACAAAGTCGCGACCAATTTTATTTTTGTACCTAAAAAAATTGTGATCTACCCGCGTGTCACTCCTCAGTCCTCACATAAATGATATAAAATATTATTAAAATAAATTACGCAATAGGTGGTCGCCTGGTCACATACACAATCAATATCAATAATCATTGTTTTATTTTTATAAGTATTTAAATGTGTGTTGTAAATTATATAATATGTAAATCAAATGTGAATCGTTATGGTAAACGGTATGGTGCTAACCGCGAATATTTTAATATGGCGGTCGTGATTTTTCTTTCTTAACCGTAAATTTTCGTGTCAACATTGGGTATTAATGTATTATACGTTCAATAATTTAATTATTTTTTTGTAGTTATTATTATTTTTACTCTAATAGTAATAACTATAGATCGATTAGATCGAATTTATATTATCTTAAAATCTTTAATAAAATATGATATTTTATGTTCTGAAAAATACAAAATATTCTTTCTTATTTCTTTCGGCGTATTTGTGTGTAACTATGTAAGAGCAATACGAATGGAAAGACAATATGTAAGCAATAATATATTATACTTAAATATTAACACGTACCGCGACGGACGATTGAATAGTCATGACAGCTAACGAAATAATCGATGTACTATCGCTATCGGTAAGGTGTATCTGATGATTAATTTTTATTAGAACTTAGAATAAAAGGATATAAAAATAACTCTTAAAGTGGGTATTGTATTTATTGATCACTATTATTAAAATACCGATATGCGTGAAATAATATGTTCATTATGCCGATGTTACGAAAATAAAATCTTCAAAAATAAATATATTCTCAAATATTCTCTAATGTGTTGAATATTCTCCGACCACTAAATACTAAAATATACTTTTTATGCAAATTGAAAGTTGAAAATTGAAATTGTAGAATTATGAATAATTGTAATGATATCTTACTCTTATTTAACGGCATACACTAGAAATTAGTATCTAAAATCATAAAAATCCAACCTCTAGTAATAACAGTTTGGAATGTTCGAACAATAATATTTTACAATAATTGTTTTTTATTATACTCTTTGATGAAATATGCGCTAATCGTCATTTGATTATTGTATTGTAATATCTTGGTATATTTTATATTATTTTTTAAGTCTTGTAAGTGTGTGTGTGTGTATGTGTATGTGTGTGTGTGTTATATGTAATTTTTATAGCTTTAAAACCAGCTACCGCCTACTGGTCTACGCTTCACGAATTTCGAGTTTATTATTATATTATATTACATATTGTAAGAAGGGTCTCATGTTGGTATTATTATAATTAATTAGTGTTGAGTCGGAAGGGTTATTTTTTTTATATATTATACATCACTTATCCAAGCTTACAGTTTTAATTATAGCTATCTTTATATTTTTGTATTATTGAGCCAGAAGGACCATAAATTATTGTTTTACTTATTCATATTAGTTACACGAGTTTACTGCACGAATAGTTGCCTTTTTATACCTATTTATTTTATTCTGTTTGGCCTCAAGAGCCGTGCATTTATTATTATTATTTCGGCAACCCTGATAACTGCTTTTCGAATTGCTATACTACTATTCTTTTTATTTTATGCTCTATAGTCTATGTGTTAGAGGTGCAATATGGTGAAATTGCATTTGGTGTCTGGACGCACGTAATATCGCATTACGTGCCTAGTCAGTAAAAAATATTATTACTTGATATATATATTATATATATATATATAATAAATTTATAGTTAGTATAGGTACCTACTTCCTTCATAATAATATTATAATTTAAAAATGTTATTTATAAGGGCACAAAACTTTTATAATATATAGGTAGTATGAATTTTACTATTTTTTATGATATTTTTAAAATATCTTATTAATTGTATGGTATTACTTATTTATTTTATAAATCTATTCGTACTGCTTAACAGTAATGTGTTAATACAATATTATAATTTATATTATATTCTAATCAGGAATGGGTAAGATACTTGAAAAAAGTGTCTAAATACAAGATACTAGATTTATCAATTTTTACTTCTAGATGCAAGATATTAAATACATTCAACATTTCCCAAAATATATACTAAATACTAGGTACTGTATTTAAGATAAAAAAATGTATGTATATTTAAAATCGACTACAAATTACGATTTCAGGTTTAAACTTTGATTCTAATGAAATAATAATAAAAAAAAAACCAATATTATATATTACACATATTTGAGAAAAGAATACACTTTTATTAGTAAACAAAATATTAAAAATAACAAATAAAAAATTACAGTTATCATGAATCAATATCTAAAAAAAATCAAAAATATAAATATTATTTTGACAACACCGTATTACTTTTAAGAACAATTTTTAAACGTTTTTTCTGATAATCTGATTATCTAGAACAAGGGTTAACAACCTCGTAAGAAGTTTTTATAAGCTTTTATTTTCCACTTTAAAATAACCAATTTTACCAAGTTTATCTTGGTACGAAAAAATCGATTTTTTTGTCTTTCAGATCAGGATTAAATGATGACATGACTCTCCAATCATCCTGATCGATTTGCATTATAAGTCATTACTTAAAACTGTGACAAATCACGCACTGCAGAGATAAATGACTTCCATTTTTCTCAATTACAGTAAACCCGTATTAAATATAATCGTTTTTTTAGATTTGGCCATTTTTATAGTTTTAATATTATATTTAATCACCACATCACCAATAATAATATTAAAAACAAAATAATCATGAACTGAGACCAGTATTGCGCGCATAAAAAGTATCTCGTATGTTATACATACGTATGTAATATTTATTTACTGGTCACGAACATATTTTGTTCTTATCGCGTTGATTGGCGATTTTTCGTAGAAACAGTGATTTTATTTATAA